AATGGCCAAAACATTATCAATATGGCAATAAAGATTAGAACAGTGCAAACAATGTAAATAGTTAATATACCTCATCTCAGAATATCTGTCTATATTTCTGAGATGAGGTATTGTAATTATTTACACTATTTACATTGTTTGGACTGTTGTCCTTATCTTTATTGCCATATTCATGATGTTTTGGCTGTTGTACACTTTGAGCTTTTTCAGGTGATTGGAATTTTGAACTGAACCCTTTATTTTGTCCACTGGGGTAAATTGTTCTTCAAGGACACATAGCCCATTAGATAAAAGCATTGGTTGGATCCAGTGACTTGACCCAAAGAGTTGTGAGTTCAATACCTAATTACTGCAATGATGAATAAAAACTTGGGGAGTTGAGAGAAAGGGAGATAACTGAGATATTCAGAAGAGTCATGGCACATGGAACTTGAACAATCTACCCTGGTGGACAAAATAAAGGATTCAGTTCAAAATTCCAATCACCTGAAGAAGGCCATAGCATACAATGGCTAAAACATTGTGAATATGGTAACAAAGATGACCTTGTCTCAGAAATATAGACAAATAACATTATCTCCCTTAAAGTTATTACAGAAGACATGTTTCCTCCTTTTGTGGTTTATTACCAAAAAGGAAAAAAAAACCAAACCAAATGGATTCTAAATGAAAGAGAAAAAAAAAACTATATTTAAAATATTTACTTATAGAACTTCTCTATATACCATTGTATATCTTTGTTCTATTTTAAAAATGGCAAAATACTTACTACACAATTCATTTTAGAGACATGTGAATGAATTATGGTGACATTTACAGCAGACATATTCTTTCTAAAAAGTTTGACTCCAGTTTTTCTATCCCAATAGAATCATTAATGAATCCATGGGTAATAAAATCACTTGCTGCAGTGTTCATTATGTTTTTGAAAGTATTAAGAATATGTAAGAGGTACATAATATTGTTGCTTTTATATAAGTGTCAGAAATTATTTGATAATGTGATTTACTTGGTAATGTCTTTACTGTGCTCACCTCCAGTTAGGTTTTAGTACTTTATTATTAGAAAGTCTAATGACATGAATCCAGTATATAGAATTCTGCTTCAAATGGTCTTGTCTTCATTCTGGTGCTAAAATATAGTAGGATAATCAGAAAAATTTTTCTTGCTCACTTTCAGAATTTTCAGAATATTTGTATCTTCCACATGTTGACTGTTAAAATAACTTGAGATAATTACCAACTCATAATTTCTTTGGATATTTATATTTAAGTAAATATACTTATTTGCCAATTAAACACCCTGCAATCTTTTTTCTTCTTTTTGATACTTGATTCTTTTAAGTTTAACATGTTGGATATTATTATCAAATGGATATGATTAATTTTTTTCTTTGTTTAGAGATAACTTCTTTTTTTTTTCTTTTTTTTTCTTTTTTTTTTTTTTTTTTTTTATAAATATTTATCACACACTTGAGTTTTGGATTCTTTTTCACTTGAGATTCCTCATTTTTGTATTTTTCTCCTTATCTATAAAAAGAAATTGTATATTGAAGAAATTTAAAATTTCTCTTTGTTTATATAATTTTTGCTTCTGTACAAATCAAAAACCAAATTTACTCTAAGCTTTCAAGCCCAACACTGTAAAAAAAACAAAAATTCCTTGACTGTCAGATTCCTCGTGTTGCAGCATTTTTCACATAAGTACCGGGCCATAAAACTTGGTTTCTCCAGAAATATGTTCTGATTTTATATTAATCTTTTGTAACTTTTTGCTGTTGTATGCTTTGGTTGGTGGGGGACTCTTATAAATCATCAAGCCTTGTAATTCCCTCCCTACTCCCTTCTGATTTGAAACCCCCTTTCTCTGATTGTCACCAAGCACCTTCTCAGGCTCCATATTAAAGACCCCCACCCCCACCCCAACACTGTTTCATCCAAACCCTTTGATGTAAGTCAGTCGGGTAATATCACATTATGTGCTGTTTAAAGGTGTTTTCTGCTCCATGTATTTGCCAACTGGACCATACCCACTTAGTTTAACTATATTCTTTAATCTACTCTCTGCTAGTTCTTTTTCATCCATCTTGATTCTAGACAGTTCCACCCTTCTTTTGATATAGGTAATTTTTTTTCTTTAATACTTACATTTATAGACAACCATTTAGACATGGCTTGATTTTTTTTTCTTTCTTTCATCTTTATATTTTATTACCTTCCTTTTTGCTTTCATTATTTTAGTTTGTGTGATGGATGCTTTTTAGTTTCAACATGTTGCCCGTTTCTTTCTTACAACTCTTTTATTACTTAACATTATTCCTTTATTACTCCAGACTCAAAACAAGTTCAATTCTATAAAACATTTTCCAACTATAAATGAGCCAATTAACAAAACGGTGATTTCTTTCTTGCCTTTTGCTTTCTCTCTCTTAAATTCTAGCTTTAAAAAAAAAAAAAAAAATTCTCAGACATGCAACTGAATCCTTTTTCTAAAAAGATTTGTCAAGATAATTTGATTTTCCTAATTACTGTAGAAGGTAATAAACTGTTTAGCACTTTGATCATGAGGGAAATTTAGAAGCTTATTACCAAAATATAAGGATTCATCTTTCCCTCCATGATTTACAGATTCATAAAATGATGGCCATGTTTGAAAAAATATTTATATAGTCAATGCTTTCTTAAAATCATAAACCTTTTCACTAGACTTGCATTAGTTAGCTGAGGATTTTTGTTAATTGCTTCCTTCTCGTTATAAAATTAAGATGATTTGTCTAATTTGTTTAAGTAATAGGATTATATTTCATGACACCAAAAAGACTTGCTTTTGAGATTACCTGTTATTGAGATAATCCAATATCTTGGAACTTTGGCTACGAGAATTCTAAACATAAAATATAATTCTAAAAGAATTCTTGTTTGTAATATTTATTTCAGAAAGAAAGGGAATGATCGTGATGTTATTCATACTCTTCTTAAGACTACATTGCCAGTGCCATAAAATATATTGATATCATCTTAATTCCTTACTATTATTATTAGTATTGAAAGGTTTTCACACTGTAAGTATTTGAATATATTATCCATTATATTATCATTACTCTTTTGCAGAGCTTCTTTTTGTTGTTGTTGTTTTTTTGGGGTTTTTTTTTTTTTTTTTTTTTTTACTTCCTTGCTCGAGTCTGTCATTGGCATAATATACTGCCACCTAGATCACCAGTGCAAGGAAAATAATTAATAGGTGAAAAATTACAAAAAATACACATGACATATTTATATATAAAATGAATCCCATTGCTTATTGCTACAATTAAATAAAAGGACATAAATGGCGATTCTTAATATATTTTTTTAATTCAAATATTGAATTACTTTCATCCTTTAAGCAGATCTTTCTTTTTGGTTGTCTTTGTATTCATTACTATATCCCCCCCCTTATCTTTGATAAAATTACCACTCAAAACTGTGATGCTGTGTCACAAGCCAATCGCTTCTCTATCACTATTCCCTTGGCAAATTTTCAGACAAGTTTTATTCTTTAGTTCCACCAGTTCAGACCTGTACAAATAGGATATGCCAGACCACTTCCACAGATTTGAATCCCCCTCGTTTCCTCCACATTCCAAGTGTAAAAATAAAAGTTCCACTAGGATAGCTGTTTCCTAAGAACAGCTACTTTGTGGAACAGACTCCCAATGTAGGTGCTTCTTTAATCACAATAATGTTAACCTCATCAAATCAAGGGGGCAATCATTATCTATCCTCCTTATCCTCATAATCTTCACTTCCTTCTACATTCCTCTGACATTCATATCACACACCTCCTTCATCATTACCATTTTAACATTATACCTCTTCCCTGCGTGACTCTCAAGCATTGTATTTAGTGAATTACCATATAAAAAAAAAAATCACCCATTTTCACAATAACGGAAACTTTCCGTGCTGTTGGTAATAAAATAAACACCAGTATAAAATAAACACTTTCAACACGGTTTACATGCACACCCACCTATTAAAATCTATATACTTTTTTTCTGGGTGAATAAACACGTATATTGAAATTTTATTCTTGTTTCATATTTTTTTTAATATTTGTTTTTGTTGATTAAAAATTCCTGTTTGTTTTTAAGTTGTTTCAATAGTAGTAGTAGTAGTAGTAGGTGGTGGAGGAGTGGTTACATTTGTGATTTACCTTCTTTACTACATAAGCATTTTAAAAGTTAAAGTTTTCATTGGATGGATTTATTTTTGAATGTTTATGAAATACAAGATCTAAGCCTGGACAATGTATACATAAACTCTTTATCTTACTTTCCACAAATCTATCAATCCACCCACTAGTGCCCCTTTCTTAATCTGTAAAATTTATTTCTCTTCTTCCCTCCTCATCCCCACTAGTTTGTTTGTCTCTGTCTCTCACTCCTACCCCATTCTCCTCAGTCATATCAAGTTTTTTCTTCCATCTTTGAACCCACTACCTAATTACTGCTGTGGTTCTAATCATCCTATCCATATTTATAAACTTGGGTAATCAATCCTTTCAAATTATCTCTGTCGAGTGCACACTGTAATCTGTTTGTATCATTAACCCAGATTTTTCACTAGGAATGTTTTCGCATTGAAATCTTCCAAAAACTTGCAATACCGAATCCTTATTCTTGCATAAATTAATGCCTACATAACTTTTATTTATTATTGGGAAATTAGGGAAAAAATAAATTCCCAAAATTATTTCCCTTAACTGTCCAGAACTGTAAACACTTCTTTCCTGCAACTAAAAGGTAATTTTATAAAAAAAAAAAAAAAAAAAAATGCCAATCTTATTGGCTATGCTTCTATATGAATAATATATTTGGTAGGTAACAGGTTTTAGATAATGAAAAAGATTACAAATAATTTTTTTTTCTAAAATTTCATCTTAAAATGTTGACACTTTTTGCATAAACTTTATTCTTTTCTTTTCCTGAAACGAACTTAAAAATTTGCATTTTCTTGCAGGATATTCGTGAAAAGAATCGAGGTGATGCTTTTTTTAATCACTTGTCCGGTATCAGTGAATCCATTTCGGCTCTTGGATGGGTTGGCTCTGTAAGTATTTATCATAGTTTTATTGAGTTTTTTTTTTTAAATAAATCTTTTGTTAAATCTCTATATCACTTGGATTATCAGTAAAATCTGTGTCTGGGTTGAGGCAAATGATGTACTACTCACAAATTCTGATGATGATATTTGGAAAGTTAATATCAGTTGTCATTATTCCAAAAAGTGTTTTTATGAATACACTCAAGAATTCTTTTGTTCTAAAATGACTTCATTATTTTTTTTTTCCACCCCAGAACAAACCATTCCCATTCATTAAGGAAATGGCTGATTCTGCTCTTTTCTACACTAACCGTGTCCTGAAGGATTTCAAGGAAAAGTAAGTATCAAAGACAAAAGATTTCTAAACTTTGAATTTTACGATGTCAACAGATTAAGAAATAATAAAAAATAGACTACCTAGGGTGATAGTGCTTTAGTCCTCATCAAAGTACTTCTTTGAGACCTTGGACATATCCCAGCATACCTTTCACAAAGCAGTCTGCAAAGCTCTTTTTTAGTTTCCCCATCAGCCTCCTCATTTTTTTTTTCTCTGGGGCATTATTCCAGTGGTGCATCCCCACCACACACACACACACACACCATTGCCCAAAAGGTTGTAGAGAACCAAATTAACACGATAGTGAGGGTAATGACAGACTTGGCTGCTGCAACAAATTACCAAAAAGAACTGTGCACAAGCTATAAAGATTCTACTCATTCTGTCATTCTGATTACAAAAGTTACAATACACAATGCTCACTCACTTCTGACAATGTAACTCCATAGAATGTCTGTTCACAAATGTGTAATAAGGTCCCTTTTGATTGGTTATCAAAGCTGCACAACTGATTCTCCAGTATACATTCCTGACAATTCTTGTACATTTCTCAGAGTAATACAAAGTATTATAAAAAATTGCTAAAGTAAATTCTTTTATATAATAAAATCTGATTTCGTTTATTACCACAAAGAAAACTGACTATATAGTCACATGATCTATATAGATGTCAGTATATGAGAAAATCACTAATAAAAGACACTGTACTTATTGTAATAATATCAGTTTTGGCAGCACTTCATCAACATATAATGTCGACATCTTTTATTAGTTTTGAGTTCTTCCTTTATTTGAAATTTTGGTTCAAGATTAAGAGATTGAACAATATGAATGGATGGGCCACTCTGACACTTATATTTCTCTTGACACTGTGGCTGACTACTATGGCTCAACAGTTGTCTTTGACCATAATAAATACATATAATCGCAACTAAGTTTAATTCACATGACTTGATCATGTACTTGGCTTTCATTAGACCATGTGTTATATTACACTGACATTGAACTTCTGAAGTCATTCTATACTGACATCACATTTATTCAAAAGGAGAAAAAGCTTGACATTCTTATAATCATTTATCAAAACAGTAAGAACTCTTTTCCTTTTTTTTTTTTGCCTTATATAACTTTCAGTAATTACTTTCTAACAGAATTCTATCATGACAGGTATGCACAGCTTCAGATCCCTACTTAAAAAATCCTTTGTAAATATATCCAAAGGAATTTATGAAGCTATAAATTTAATCAAATAAATAAAAATATACGTAACAAGGATTTAGGTCTGTGAAAGTCAATCTTTAAAAAGACTTCTTTTTTTTTCTTTTTCTTTTCTTTTTTTTTCTTTTTCTTTTTTTTTTTTTTTTTTTTTTTTTTTTTCTTTTTTTTTTTCTTTTTTTTTTTTTTTTCTTTTCTTTTTTCTTTTTCTTTTCTTTTCTTTTCTTTTTTTTTTTTTTCTTTTCTTTTTTCTTTTTCTTTTCTTTTCTTTTCTTTTTTTCTTTTTTCTTTTCTTTTTTTCTTTTCTTTTTTTCTTTCTTTTCTTTTTTCTTTTTTTCTTTTTTCTTTTCTTTTTCTTTTTTCTTTTTCTTTTCTTTTTTTCTCTTTTTTTGTTCTTTTCTTTTTCTTTTTCCTTTTCTTTTTCCTTTTCCTTTTCTTTTTCTTTTCTTTTTTTTCTTTTTTCTTTTTTTTCTAAGCATTTCACCCCAAGCAAGGCAGGAGTGCCACTAGCATGCAAGGGGTTACAGAGAGTGAGAGCAACAATAAAGAGAGATGTTTGAGGAAAGGACGTGGATTGGGATCAAGGCATCAGAAGATATCAATTGACATTACATTTGAATATTTAAAGATTATAGCTATCAGGGAAGCAAGTAGGAGGAAGGGAGTTCCACCATCAGGAAATGTGGAAGAAGAAGCTGTGGGAATAGAAGAGGAAGCTACATTTAACTGTTTTAACATTGAAAGGGTGGGATCAAGATACCAACCTAGTAGCATGTTTAAATTCATGCTGTTGGGGTATCTATGAAAGTAGCTTGTCAGAACAATTGCCATGAAAATATTTGTAGAAAAGACAGAGGGAAGCCACAGCATGTCTGTGAGAAAGTGACTGTAGGTAAGACACCAGATCAATATTATTGAATATAAGAAAAGGCTGTATTCAAGAAGTTTGTAACTTTTAATACAACAATTCTATAAGAAAGATACTCAGAATGGTAATCTTTAAATAGAAGTGTACAATTCTTTTAGATTTGACAGTTGCTCTACTTAATATGGTATTTGAACTTTGAACTCTGATACTTGAAAGATTTTAGGAAGATTGAAGAATCTGCAGTTCTTTTAGTGATGGTAAATGAGAATCTGCTTTTAAGAATGACTTAGGAGTTTATTTTTGGACAGCCAATTTGTATACTATATTATCAGGGAACAATTATTTGTTGACAGGCTGACAATACCATTGGTTACTACATGTGTTCATGCCTGTTAACATGCTTTGGATTAATATTTGATTAACTGTAAGTTTGGGGTTTAGAGGGGACAGTCAAATAGGAATGGCAAGCAAGTCAGATGGAGGGGAGTGCTTTTAACAGGAACAAAAAGGGAGATAGATGCCTGTTTTTTCTTAGAATCCACAAAAAATATACTGCTTTTTTTCTACCTTCATCTTTTCTTCAGGGTAGCATATGTCCTCTGTCACTCTTCTTGCCTAAATAAGCCTCTCGCCTTACCACCATATTCTCTTTTCTTTCAATTCCTTACTCTTTTTTTTTTCTAAGATGTTGGTGTATATTTTAAGTTTAAAAGGGTTTAAAAAAAGAAAAGAGAAACAAAGATAATTTTTCTAAGGAAACAGGAACCAAAATTTATTTACTTATTTTGAATATATGTTGTTGGCATGTGTTGAAAGTAAAGAACAGGAGGAAAAACTGTCAAGGTTTTTTTTTTCTTCTTTTAATGAAGTATTTTTTATGTCATGAAAAAGAACAACTTCAGATCAACCAAATGATGATTTTTGTTGTTTTTTTGTTTATAATTAAGTTGATTCAATAATAAAAAAAAAACTACTTACCAGTAAGGTTCTTGGTATTGTCTGGGCACAATGAAGACAATAAGATGAACATTAAAATAAAGACTTGTCATATTGTCTTATTTAACAGATCATTTGATGAAACTTTCAATAAAACTGAAGTTAGGATTACAAGAAAGAAATGGAGAATCTATTTTGCTCAATAATTGAGCCAAATATTGTTTTCAAATTATGTCTCCTCAAAGAAATAATAAGGATGATCTTTGCTTAATTGTTCACTTTTGGCAATATTTCAAGTTGTTAAAGTGTAAAAAGAAAGTCTACTTCCAAGAAAATGGACCAACAAGTTCTCAGACTTTCAAAATACAGAACAAAGTATCAATCCATTTATTTTGCTTTAGATTTAAAAAATGAACTGGAAGAGAATTTGTGAATTTAAAAATTCTGAGAATATTGCGACTGAACTTTTTGGAAGTGCCAGAACTCGGTATGAGAGGGGAAATGAGTTAGTTTTGATACATGACATTCCTTACTTCAGGCCAAGTCATAGGGCAACTGAAGAAGCCCTATTTGAAATGTCTGGAAGCAAAGATTCTTATTTTTGGTTTGGGTTTGTGGTAGTTTGCTGCTGTAGTCAACTTAAGAAATTCAGAGGTAAAAAAAAAGATTAAAAGCATTTTTGTCAGAAATATACTTTACTGAAGTACATAAAACAAAATTACTCTTAAAAATTTGCTTTAAGAGTTAGGCTTAACGTTTTCTTGTTTACAATGTCAGATTGAATTTATGGAATTATATGACCTTTTTATATAATGACATTCTTGATAAATGATTTGTCATTCATTTTGTAGTATAAAATGTTATATTTTCTTGTATTTTTTGTTTTTTAATAGTAAGTTAATCTAAAATTCAAAAAAAAATTTTTAAATACCTTTTAAGAAGAAAAACAAATTACTCATAAAAAATTAAATTTTTTCAGTAATATTTTTGTTATGAATAACAATACTATAGAGAAAAATATTAATTTTGTAACAAATAATAGCATTTTTAAACAAATTTCACAGTGGAAAACAGTTTAAGAAAAGGTTTTGGAAGAAAAGCTGTTAAAAATTAAACATAACATAACTTTATTAAAATTGACTTTTGGGGGAAATACTTTAACATTTCTAATAAAATGAGAAAAAATAAGATTAATGAATTATTTATTTAAATAAAGTAAAATTAAAATGTTACATTTCAGTCTAAAGATGGTAAAAATTCAACATTCTTTTTTCATGTTTGAAATACAGATTACATAAAAATAAAATTGTTCATTAGTGCATTTGTTTTATGAATAAAAATTTTGTAGAGAAGAATATTGCATTGACTTTAAGTGAAAAATGTTAAATTAACTTCCAATTAACAAAATCAAATTTACTAAATGACATTCTTTTGTTATTAGTGAATTTCAAACAAATCAAGTTTGTTTTTACAATGAAAGCATAAAAAACCTCAAAAATAATAAAAAAAACCTCAAACATAAAATAAGTCCAAAGGAAATAAATAAATTTTATACTTACTTTAAATAAGTTATTTCAAATGTAAAAAGCAAACATTTCTTAAGGCAACTACAGCAGTGAACTACCACAAATCAAAACTAAAAATTGTTGAACTATTATTGCACTATTACTTGGCCTGAAGTAAAGAACACCAGAATCTGGTACCACACACACACACACACACACACACACACACACACAGAGTTTTATTTTTATGTTATTAAAAATTGCAGTTAATTATTGGATACAAGTTGCTTTAATTGTACCAAATAAATGATTGTATTATTTTTTTTTTTTTTTTTTTTTTTTTCTTAAGGGATCAAACACATGTTGATTGGACCAAAGCATGGATTGGAACCCTTGGTGATTTGCGTGATTATACCAAGCAGTACCATACAACAGGAGTTTCCTGGAACCCACAGGTGAGTAATTTAAGTGCAGAGTTTTGTTTTTTCTTAATATTAACCTGGAAAGAACACACTAAGAAATCTTATTTTTGTTATGTAGACCCTATGTGTTGAGCTCAAAATGTTTAAATCAGAAACCAAGAAAATATTCAAAGGTAGATAAATAAGTTATTAACTGAATTTTGACCTGAAGTTTTCACTGTATTTTTATCTGATTGGCAACTGAAATAAGCACATTGATTAATAAATATTTATGCAAAACGAATTCTCTTTTTTATCAGTAAGTTGCAAAATTTATTTGTGTGTGTGTACACACACACACACACACACACACACACACACACACACACTTGAGTTGATTAAAGAATTTGGTCCAAGAGGAAAATAACAAGAAAAGACCTTCAACATCACAGACACACACATTTTTATCCCCCTCACCTTTTAAGTTCTTAAAAATGTCTCTTTTTAAAATGACTACAAAGAACAAATGGAATATATGAAAACAGCTGCTGATTTATTTTATATTTAATTTTTTTGGTGTCTGGGAGGGGGAATTTCCTCTTTTTTTTTTTTTTTTTTTTTTTTTCTTAATGTCTACATTGACAATAGTTTCTGTTCAATTCTGTTGAAAGTGTCTGATCAAATTGAACTCTTAAATTCTGCTGGATTTGTTCACTGCCTTTTGAATAGTTGCAAAGGTTCAGTGAACATCTTTAAGTGAACAACACTGACTCACCCTAGAATATAACAGGTATAAAATATGTTGCCCACTTAGTCAGCCTCACTCAGGTGTTGAAAAATAAATATATATATATATATATACACACACACTGATTTTTTTTTTCTTCTCTTTAAAGAACTTCTGTTGTGTTTGTGTGTGTGAGATATATAATACGACCATATTTTACAACAGGAACAAACTGATCTGAATCACAAGCACTGAATCTGGTTTTAGCCTGATAAAGATAAAAATTTATCAAGAAGTATGATAATGATAGTGTTTTCTTTGATGTCTTATAATCATTTAAAATTATCTAAAAAGTGTACTTTTTTATGACTCTTTGACTTGGGAGTTATATTTTATTAACAAGAAAAAAAAAAAAAATTATCACCTGTTGTAAGATTGTTTTTTCCCCCCTTAATGAAACTGTCTTATTTACTGATCCACTGGTTTTTCATACTGAAAAAAGAAATTGTAATAAATTGGTTTTATTTGTATTCTTAGCAAGGTAACTTGGTATTGCCTATAATCAAATAGTTGTTGATTTTCTCCCGTAAAGGTTGACAGCCTTTGTTTTCACCCTGCTGAATATAGCTTAGATGTTTGCGTGATTAACAAATATTTTTACACATTGTTCTTCCTCAATGATAATAATGAACTTAGAAATTTAACTTGATTATTCATTTATTTTCTTTACTTCTTAGCCAATAAAAATACCAATCAACTTCTCTTCCACTGACCCATGATCAGTAAATAGAAACAAACATATTCAAAGATTGAAAAAGAGTACATTCATTAAACCAGTTTGAAACAGGTTTGACGGGATAGAAAATTATGCATTCATTGCTAGAAATATTTTTTGAGGTTATTAGCAATAATGTTAAATGACCTGTTAATTGCATGCAAATGACATTTTTCATATTATTTATATATATATATATATATATATATATATAAAATGAGAGTGTCTTGTTATACAGCTAATCTAAGATTCACAATAGTTAATGAAAAAAAGCACAAAAAAGGGAGATAATTATAGATCTGTTGGTGTACAGGGAGGCATGGTGGAGTAACAGATAGCAGATTGGATTGAGGAATCAGAGAGCCGGGTTCAAATTCCAGTTGAATCCATTACATTCATTTACGTGCTAATACCCTTGGGAAAGGTATGAGTCCTCTTTTTCTCCCCACAGCTATGGGTAAAAAGCAGAACAGACTGGGTTCTATAGCCTTGGATGTCAACTGGTCTACCGCAGGAAAGAATGGCAACTTATGGGGGGGAGTTCTACCTCGTCAGTCATGTATCTTTTGATACATGATCGCCTAAGCATGTATCACGCATGACACATAACTGACTGGTGTACATATCTGATGATAATCTTTATAAATCCAACTCACCGATACTGAGACAAAAACTATATCACAGTGACAGTGGTTTTATATTTAACATATAAACACTAAAGGCAATGACACTTGTGTCAAAAATGTCTTGTATGTCAAGTCAGTTGTCTGAGTAAAGAAAAAAACCAAACAAATGTATTTACTGAAAAATGTATCTCATTAAAAACAGTAATGATTGTATTCGCAATGTATGTGTTAAAGAGCTAGGACTTAATCTTGTCAAAATTCATATCTGTTCCTGATACCAAGCAGTCAGCATATTTCAATCGTCCTTATATATTTAAGGACAAAATAAAATCTTTTTACAAAAATATGTTTGAAGAATTAAAATAATGACTTGAAATTTCCTACTTTATATGAAATATTCCATCTGAAAAACTTTTCTTTTCTTTTTTTTTAAATTTAACCTCAAAATAAATGTGCCTGTAGACAAATATAAATGTTGTTATTGTGTGTGTGTGTGAGAGAGAGAGAGAGAAAATGCTTAATAGTCAACTTTATATAGTAAATAACCCATTTTTCTTCATGTGCTTTGTTCTAAAGAAATCATTTTAATTTTATATTATTTTAAGAGAAGACTGAGTAATCTAGCATCTCTATATATGGATAAAAAAGGTAGGGTGCTGTTGGTGGTCAGCAAAAGTGATACAAGGGACACGTCAGGACAATCCTTGAAGACCTTAGTGTCTTCCCTAGCCAATTAGAAAAGCAGATCTTCCTCTTCTAGAGAATTTTTTTTTTTTTGTTAAGGATATTAATCACTATTAATATTTACAGATTTCATTATTGTTTCAATGGTTATTGATAAAATCTTCAGAATAGGATTTGCAATATCAAACTTTGTTGATTTGTTTGCTTTAAAATAGAACATTTTAAGTTTTTAAAATGGCTTCTTTCTTTTTTTTTCTTTTTCAAAATACATTTTTAAGAACCTGATGATTCTGAAGGCTTAGCCTGTATTAAAAGAATGTATTAAATCAAAAGCTCTAGGAATGGCCTGCCAGGGAAAATAGAACTGGAAAATATTTGTCAGTTATGTCTAAAAGCTCCATTCATTATGTAGACGTGAAGAAAGGTCATTACCTACCATAATTGCTTTTTTTTTTCTTGTAGTTAATCTTTTTTTTTTTTTTTCTTTTTTGTAGTTGTTGTTTTTTTTTGTTAATGAGGCTCACTACACTTCCAAAAACATAATTTGTAAGAAGTGTATATTTGGAACTCTTTGGAAGAAACTTGCTACTCGTAGCTTGTGAGATGAACATGTGAGTCATAGCTCAATGTTATGCACCTAAAAATCAATAAAAAAAAAAAAAACAATTTGGTTGAATCCATTCTCTATAATCTATAACAGATTCTTAACAAATGAACTTTTGGAATTTGATTCTTAAGTATACACACACACACACACACACACACACACACACACACACACACACACACACACACACACACACACACACAAAAAAAAAAAAAAAAAATTGTACAGTTTGGCTTACCTTGATAAATGTGTAGTAAGATGCCAAATTATTAGTGTATTATTTCATTAATCTACTAACAAATACCAATCACCTACATTAGTCAAGTTTGCATCTAATTAGGCTAATCTGTAATTAATGAAACTAATTACAGGTAATCTCTTCTATAAACTGATGAAGGTTGATGCCCTTGACCAAGATTAGTTAGTGTACTGTTCTTGTGACTTGTATTGGTGGTTTTTCCTTTCTTTAAACTATTTTGACAATATCTTTCATCTTTATTCAACATGAGAACAACATAGGAACTTTTCTGCTAAAATGGTTTTCCTTCTTTAGGATGATTTTGTTTTTTTCTTGCTCTGTTTGCAATTTGTGTTATTACCACTTCTAGGTACTTTCCTAGCATCTTTGCAAGATAATTTTTCAGCTTTTAATTCAAATGTTTAATAAACTAACAAAATAATACCAATAGTACATGCATATCTGCTTTTCAATTTATCTACCATGTATCATTCCATTGCAAAAATTGTACTTTGTAAGAATTCAGTACAGTACCACTTTATTCACCATTTTCAATAAACCCACAGTCACAGAAGTAACACCATTTTTGAGTTTTACTCAAGAAATGGTTGTAAAGTGAGAGATTAGTGATGCTGGCAATTCTGATATGTCAAACAGAAATCATAAACAGCTTCCTTTTTAACAAATATTGTAAAATTTCTTTACCTAATAAGAACAGAAAAGAAAAGATTACTAACATCTATAATAATAAATCTTCTATCATTTAGATAATTTTTATTACAGTATATTGTTATAATTGTTGTATTATTATTATTATTAATCTCTTATTGTATTTAATTCATAGATAAAAGTATTTATATGTATAGGAAAAAATAGTACATTTATAGATCATTGTTATCATGGTTTCAGTCATCTGGTGGGGTGGGGAAGGTTCTTGGAACATATCTCCTGATGATGAATAGGGGGAGGAACAACTGTATTACTCATTGCAAATTTTTCAATCTGACCTAACAATATTTTCATGGTTGAACATAATTTAGGCATCTCTTGTTAAGAAATTCTCTTAGTATTTGAAAAACATGTCACTAGATACCTTTGTAATTCTAATCGCATTTTATTCCTTATCAAGATCAAATATGAATCATGTGTGGACATTGTGATATTTTATTTTCTAACACAGAATTCTCTAAAAAGTAATTACCAACCTTTCTCTTTTCAGATCTTTTACAAAATGTTTGATTCACTGCTAGAGACTAAAAGAATTGATTAAATACAAAAATGCCTCTTTTTTGATTCTTCAAAGAAAAAAAATTCTTTTTTTGGTCTGCATTGTCATTTCTATAAAAATTATCAGTTATTATATGAACAATAATTTAAGATTCTTTTGAAAACAAGAT